GAATACTATGCAGCCATAAAAAACAACAATATCGTGTCCTTTACAATCAACATGAATGCAGCTGGAGACCATTATCCTAAGTAAAGTAACACAAATAGAACACCAAATACCACATGTTGTCACTTGTAAGTGGGAGCTAAACATTACATACATGTGAACATAAAGATGAGAACAGACATGACTAGAGTGGGGATCGAGGTAGTCTCTCAGTGTACAACATGTATTGGGTACTATGGTCACTACTTGGGTGATGGGATCCATACCCAAACCTCAGCATCATCCAACATACCCATGTAACAAACATATACATGTACCCCCAAATCTAAAATAAAAGTTGAAATTAAGAGTATGTTCTCATAGGCATACTTTGTCAATCCCCAAAATATCATAATGTTAATTCAAAAGATAAAAAAAATAAAATTCAACATCAATAAAGTAATGTGCTCATTTCTTTTGTCACTTCTTTAAAACAATGTATAGACAATACCATAGGAAAAGAGGGCAATCTAAACTGCGTATTACATCAAAAACATTTCAACCCTTAAGACTTCTGAGTATTCAGAGAGCACTATGATTTGTTTACATACATGTTGCACTAGCTAAAAACCCATAAACTAAGTCTGACTTTTATTTTAAATACCTTAATCAATAGTCTTTTTCAGACACCTATGTTGGTCATACATAAATTGTGAATTTTAAAGAGTTCAGACATGCAAAGGACAGAAAATTATAGGTTTGTGGACATATCAAATCATACAGGGACTTGATATTAATTATAAAAGGGTCTCTGACAGGAAACATCGACTGTCCTTTTTTAACCTATGCTCCCCAGAGCATATTTTCCCTATGTATTCTTTTCTTCTTGCTAGCAAAATCTTTACTTCTCAAAACTACATGTTTTTCCACAACTCTGAGAGGAACAGTCCCATCAAAGAAAAACAACACAATTAACTTGCTTAAAAACATAATGCTAGAGAACTTGATACAGGCATAAATCTTGGTTTATCAGTGGAAAGGCAAAGAGCCTTGAAAAGATTATATCAACAGATGTCCTTTTAAAAATGTAAAAGAAGGCTCTGGAACGAGTGGTAAGGTACTATCTCAGCGTAGAAAACCTATGCAAAAGCTTCTCCATCAGAGTCAGGCTTTGAGTGCATACCCTATTCTTGTGGCAGAGGGAATGTTATATGCCAATAAAATCTCTGAATATTCTGCCCACAAAATTTTCCATCTCTCTATCCGGGATGGAATTACAACAAAGACTATGGCTTCAGCATGGATGGATTAGAGCACCCCAGAAAAGGGTGAAGGACAGCTCCACTTTCTATGCCATTCCACAGAAAATCACCCAGTCCTCTTTTGGAAGACATATTTTCAAGTATATGAACACATCCCAGAAATAGAAACAAGTTAAAAATCTGAACTTCTGCAAACCAGAACTTTTCTTTAAAAGTTTATGTTTACAAAGGGCTTTGATGTGTTTCCCATTTGACTTAAATGAATCTTAAGACTGAAACGAAATTACAAAAATGTCAACACAGAGACTTACTCCGTCTTTTTCCAACATCTCCTTTGGAAGTTGCTGCTTCATTTAGAAGAACCATCCCCATGGTGATAGCAGCATCTGCAGTAGTTGTCAAGGAAGCCGTAGAAATAGATGAGTAAAATCTATTAATTTTTCTGGGTCTGAACACAATGCTCCAAAATGGTTAAATTACAAATGCACACAAAGGTAAATACAATGAATTATCTTTATATAACATAAAATCACCATTTGGATAAGCACATATGCCTTAATTTTTAAAATTTATAAACTGAAACTTCGATTTGCGAGATACTGAGAGGCTAAATCTAACGGCTCTTAAATTCCAGGATTTTCACAGAACATATAAACTATAAGGACTCTCAAAACTGGTTACAACATTTCACATTATACATAAAGATATGCACTGCTTACAGACATGGTGACACATTTCATTTTCATAGTGTGTGTGTGTGTACATAGCTTTTTTCTAAATGCGTTTTTTCATCGGTTTTGTTTAGTTGAAATCTTTATGAAGGTCAGGTATGTCACTGGAAAATCTGGGGGTATACAATTAAAAGTCTTACCAACGCAAACAAGCATATTTTAATAAAATAATTTAATGAATCTAGCAGAACCCTGAGCTAGTCAGCTAACTGATACTTTTAAGAATGAGATCACAAAATTACTTTTGTATTTTATACCTGCTTGCAATAGGATGGCTGTATTCATGTTAGGCTGAATAATGCTAGAATTAAGAGAATGATGGGAAATTTTCATCTTCATAAAAAATTCTTTGCCATGTTTTATAATATTTTTGACACTGTCTACTCTTAAGATTTAGAACTCAATTCTGAAAATATATTATGTGTTTTGCCCAAAGATTCACAGATTAAAAATTGAAGAGAAAAATAAAAATTCTAGGCCAGAACTCTACAATTTGCTTAATTTCATTATGATTCCCTTGTATTCATTTCTACTGCTATTTGTATATAAACAGCATCAGTAAATCTCCTGTGCAGGATGATACCACTAACAAAAGCTCAAAGGATAACATTGGGCAATGTCTATACGATCAAGTGGAGGAGGTCAGAGAAAATTTTGCAGAGAACATTACCTCTCTGAGTCATGTTTTTAGACCCAAATGACTGAAATTCTGATTAATAAATTGTAATGTTCATATTCAAGTCTGTCTTCGTGACCATATTATCCAACTTCTGAATAATAATACATGCCTGGCTTCTCTCGTGAGGCATTTATGCTTCCATGACCTCTATATACAAATGTTTTTCAAATTATTTGTTTTACCATTGGAACCCTTTCTGGAAAAAAAATCATGAACAACCTATATTTGGAAGCCTAATGTATACAAGAGAAAAAGCCCCTGCCACCCTGCACAATGTCAACCCTCACCACCATACACATACGTACCATATACTAGCACTAAACTTTTAGAGATTTGTGCTATACAGCTTAAAAAACACTGAAATTTTTATGAAATTCCTGGGTTTCAATCTTGCAGCAGTGGCCTGAAAAGAATATTGTTAAGAGAATGACTGTTTGGTATTACCAGTATGATAGTCTATAGGCTGTAAATTAGATTCATCATTCTTAATGTGTTTTGGACCGTCTCTACTTGTATACATTACCGCAAATCCATAAACACTGGACATTGATAATAACAAATTTAATTAAAAACTTGTTTCACTAAAACGGTTCATGTGTAGATTTCTACTGCTTAAAACTCAGTTTTCTGGAGCAGACAGATGTGACTGATTTGGATCCTTAACAAGGAGTTACTAAAAGTTTCCCCTTTAATAATTTTTTCTGCAGTACCTTTTATATTCATGTAAAATTTTTATCTACACGTTTAAATATACATATTTAATCTGCTGACAATTCAAACAGAATTGCAGGTTATTTTACTATGACTTTTTTATTTTTATTTTTTTGAGAGAGTTTCACTTTGTAGCCCAGGCTGCAGAGCAGTGGTATGATCTTGACTCACTGCAACCTCTGCCTACTGGGTTAAAGCGATTCTCATCGCTCAGTGTCCTAAGTGACTGGAATTACAGGAGCACACCACCATACCCAGACAATTTCTGTATTTTAGTAGAGATGGGGTTGCAGCATGTTGGCCAGGCTGGTCTTGAACTCCTGGTCTCAAGTGATCTGCCAGCCTTGGTCTCCCAAAGCGCTGGGATTACAGTTGTGAGCCACCACGCCCGGCTACTATGACACTTAAATATTCCAAACATAAATGGCATTTAAGATGAAATTTTGTAGATATTAAAAGTAAAACATATATTCATTTAATGATTCCATCTGCTGAGCAGCTTCTTCAGTTCCATTAATGAATCATGGGAGAAATGGCAGTATTTCTATTAACTGGGGAAAATAAAGCTTACAAAATAAAATGTATGACAGTTTTAATAGTAGTAAAGCCATATTTTAATATGTTCTTAGGGTCAAATTTTATACACAAGTGCACATGTACACAAATATATATATATATCTGTTTGTAAAACACAAAGACTTTTGTGTTTAAGAAAACAAAATTGTTATTAGAAAAGCGAAAAGTGTATTTTATTGGGCACTACATTTGGTCACCAAAGTATAACATATCCCTATAAATGTATCTTCATATCATTTTTACTACTCTCCTTCTGTATTGCTACAATGTTGAAAACTATGAGTAACCTGCTTCTCATTTCAACTGCTTAAATTCAAACAATGTAGTAACAGAAAATTATGTAAATAATTTTTGTAAGAGTATATCATATTTTATTGCTTTATCTTACGATAACATTTGTTTCCAAATGCTTGCTACTAGAAATATTCCTGCAAATAATATATTTTTACAGGTTTCCTAGAGTATATGTGCAATATTTTCTCTATGGTTTATAACCAGAAGTGGAATTTTTGAGAGGTTCAGTAAGTGTATTTTCAAAGTTGTTAGGTACAATCATACTGTTCTCTCAAATGAGCAATGTAAGTTTCCATTTTTCTTAATTTCACTAACAGAATACTGCCAAATTATTTTTATCAAACTGGTAAGGAAAAAAATTGTATCAATAGCTCCCCACTTGGTTCTAAGCATCTTTTGATATGTTAATTCTGCTTTATTTGGTTTAATCTTCAGTACACTACCCCCTTTTCTTCCCCCTTGTTCCAAAAGCACAGTTGCTTAATTTTATCAGCTTTGAAACATTTTTTTTTTTTTTGGTAGATACGAATTGCCTGAAGTACTGTATACCGACTCTCCTACTTTATAGTTTGTGTTTTAAATTGTTTTGTCATATAGAAAGCTCTAATTTTAATGTGGCCAAATTTATTCATCTTTCCCATTGAGTTTTAGTGGTTGTTTCTTAAACCCTCCTTCTAGGTCTTAAAAAGGTTCTCTGGCATTTTAATACCTTCAAAGCAATTTGAGTAATAAGGAAATCTGTGAACTTGTTATTCCCACTGCCTGAAGTACTTTTTCCTGGGGTGCTCATGTAATTTACTCCCTCACTTCTACTAGGTCTCTTTTCAAATGCAATCTTGTCAGAGAAGCCTACTCTCATCTTTATTCTGATTTTTTTTTTTCTATAACATGGTTTTTTTAAAGAAATTGCAGATCGTATACATTTTTTAATTTACTTATTGTCTTTCTTCTGGCACTACAATTTTAGCTCCAAAAGGGCAAGAAGTTTGTTTTGTTCACAATCTTACTCAGTCCCAACAACTCTTTGATGTACATATTATCACCTGTTTACAAATAAGGAAACTGAAGCCCAGAGAAGTTTAAACAACTAGCTCAAAGTCACAAAACTACAGAATGAAAGATGCAAAATAAAAAAGCACAAAAGTAATGAAGTAAGATATTAGGCTTAGATAAAAATGATAACCAAGTGTTGGGCAAAGAACATAATTGGTAGCCCGATTTCAGCATGAAATATCTTTATGCTAAGCATAAAAATCTTTTTTTAGAAAGTATAGAACATTCAAATATCTTTTACTTCTCCATAAACATATTCCAGTTTTTACAAATAAGTTTGCAAATCACTCACAAAATTGCCATATCAAACATGTCTATCTGGATTGTGATTTTACCTTTACATCACTTACGTTTCTGCTTTAAATCACATTGTTATAATTTACTATTTTTGTTGGGAGCAAATGCAGTAACAGTGTAGCATTTTTCAAATTATATGATTTAAAAAATATGCAAACTCCCAATTATAAGGCAGAAAGAGAATAGAAAACCCAAGTCTAACAAAAGTTTTAAGGTTTCAGCATGTCAAAAACCTCAGCAAATCATCAATTATCATGAATTGCATGTGCCAGAAGTATGCCATGAACTCCACTCCTCTAAAGCTATTCCCAAATAAGGAAGAATATAAAATACTAAAAAAGTTTTACATACATACAAAAATCTAATTTAGAATACTTTTATATAGTGAAAAATTAAAATGTAAATGTCCAACTATAACATATGGGACATTTTTGTGATAGGTTAAGTAGCCATATAAAATGAAGTTGACAAAAATTCTTAATAACAAAAACAAGATATATTAATTTCCTGACCATACCAAATGAAAAGATGTATACGTATGTATAAAAGTATGTACAAAACCTCAACTCCTTTAAAATAAATGCAGAGAAATGACTGCAGGGAATAAAAGGTAAAAACAGTAACTGGGCTGGGTGTGGTGGCTCATGCCGGTAATCTCAACATTTTGGGAGGCTGAGATGAGGGGATCATGAGGTCAGGAGTTCAAGGCCAGCCTGGCCAAGATGCTGCAATCCTGTCTCTACTAAAAATACAAAAATTAGCCAGGCATGGCAGCATGCACATGTAATCTCAGCTACTTGGGAGGCTGAGACAGAAGAATCACTTGAACCCTGGAGGGGGAGGTTGCAGTGAGCTGAGATCACACCACTGCACTCCAGCCTGAAAGAATGAGCAAGACTCCAACTCAAAAACAAAACAAAACAAAAAAGTAACTGTTCATGAGTGGGTTAATAAAACTGTGAACTTTTGTTTTCTTTATTGACCACAGCCTACAGAGCAGAAATTGGCTAAGTTTTTCAGTAAAGGGTTACAAAGTAAATATTTT